GATTATATGAAAAGAGTGAAATCCCTCCAATAGTTACTAATTTCTAGTGCTGTTTATCTTTTATACATAAAATGAATAGTTAAAAGTTGTTAAATTAAGTTGATTTAATTGTTTATTCAATGATGATTGTGCATTATGTATATTTAAAAATAAATAAACTTTTTTAATATTTTTATTTTATTTAATGAATTGAATGGATATTTATTGAAATTTAAACATTTATGTATAAAAGAGATATCCAAATACTAAAGATTTAGATTCACGTAGAATAAGATGATACAGACAAAAAATAATATTAAATTATAATTGATAAATATTAAATAAATTTATCTTTTAAGCATTAAATGTTAAAAATTATTATTTTTTAAAGTATTTTTAATTAAATAAATAAAAATAAAAACAAAACCTGTCAAATATTAAAAACAACGTAGTTTTGATATAAAGTGTAATAAAAATTAATTCGATAGAAAATAACAGATTGCAACTAATTGCTATAATCAATTATCTTAGTTTTATATATATTATAGATATAATTGTCGATTTTAATAAATAAATGAAGTCCGTTCAATTGGAAACTCCCAACTTTCAATCTATTAAAGTTCAGTTTATAATTAAAATATTAAAAATTTAGTATTTTAAATATATTTAAAAATAAAATTTAATTAACACGCGTTGCTTGACTTAAAAGATCATGTTCGAAGCTCGTCACCAAGTTGGGCCTAGCCCACTAACATAACAGTAGCCCGACTCACACCATAAGATAAAAGTTAGGTTGACATGTTGCGTGAGGTTTCGTAGGTTTCTGCTTCGATTTTAGTGGTTTTATATTGGACTCTGGATTTTGGGCTTTTTGCTTGGGTTAGGAAAATGCCAAAGCTTTGTATGGGCCACCGGTTTTACGTTCATTTCTAATTATTCAGACAAAATATTCTTATTATTAAATTAATTTAAATAAAAAAGTAAGAAACTAAAAAAAGAAAGAATGAAAAAATAAGTCGATTACCATAATATAACAAATATAATGATGATAAACATGAATTTAAACAATAAATGTAATTAAGACAAAGAAAAAGAAAAAAGAATGGGGAAGGAAAAAATTACCATGGAATAAAAGATTATCAATTGAAGCTAAACAATGATAAAAAAAAGAAAAAGAAAAGATGAGCTAAAAGAATTAAAGAAAATAAAGGAAAGAGAAAATGAAGAGCGGAAAACATTATTTCTTCCGAAAATCAACTTGAATCGTAATAATAAAAAGATAAAAATGTAAATGGGTAATAAAAATAATATAATGATAAGTGGGAATTTAAATATAAATATTATTTAGAGAAAAATTAAAGAAAAAAATGGAGAGGCAAAAAATATATTGTTATTGTCTATTAAAAAATTTTAACGAAAGTTTTTTTTTTTTGTGCCTATTTTCTTTCTTTTGTTATAAATATTTTTATAAAGAAATTTATAATTTACAATAAATTGAAAAAATATCTGTTTGATTAAATTATTAATAATTTTTTTTAAAAAAATTATAACACTCACTGGACACTACGGTATTTCAACGTTGGTGACGTGGCATAGATGTTTAAATTGTTTTATTTATATTCTAATCAATTATGTTATTAGCAAGTATAAAATTTTTAACCTTTAGAATCTACCCTGCAGATTTAACAAGTTTAAAGAGCTTAACCTACCAGAAAAATATAAATATGGACCCACCCTCGATCACGGAACATTAAATTAAGAGGAGCAATTTATTTATAATTAATGAAACGTTAAACACAAGCAAAATTAATTAATTTTTTAATTATCAAAAGGTAATGACCTTTCAGTTTTCCTGATTATTTTACATCTTCTTTCAGGTAGAAAATATGTTTCTTTTATAGTGGAGATTGTTTGGAGGAAAGAATGGAAGGTATAAGGGTTGTTCTTAATATCTATCAAATGAAGAAGTTAGTGACATTTTATTGTTAATTGTAATATTAGTCAAAATTATAACCGGACAAAGAATCTTTTGCACAATTCTTCATTCTTTTATTGACATTATTGTACTTGTTTCTTAGGAAAAAAAAACAAAAACTAAAAATATTAATTAGAAGGAAAGAACTGACAAAAAGAATAACATAATTTTTATGAAAATTAATCATTTACATTTATATTCTTAAGTAAAAAATATAACCCATTAAGAAATTTTAATTCGTAAATAAATAATAACAAAGATAAAATATTTATAGTAAAATTTAGTTATTTTAAAATTTTGATGTAAAATTAAAAGAATATATGTAAAAAATCATAAAATTAAAATAATTATTGTTAAAATATTGATGTAAATGAGAGAGAATTACTGCAAAAAATCAATTTAAACAAAATAACAATAAATTTTGTGAAAATTAATTATTTATATTTATATTTTTGAGCTACAAATAGTTAAATATTTACAAATTTTAATTTATAAATAAATAATAATAAGTGTAAAAATAATTATAATAAAAAATTATCATTTAAAATCTCGACATAAATTCATTAGAATGAATGTAAAAATTCATGAAAGTGAAACAAGTACTATTAAAATATTGATACAAATGTATAAGAATTAATATAACAAGTCAATTAATTTAATATAAAATTAATTTTTATGAAAAATAAATATTTAAATTTGAATGCGCCAACTAAAAGTATTTAACGATTTACAAATTTTAATTTATAAAGAAATAATACTAAAGATAAAAATAATTATAGTAAAAATTAATAACTGTAAAATTTTATCATAAATTTATAAGAATTAATGTAAAAGAATTATAAAAGTAGAACAAGTATTATTAAAATATTGATGTAAACATATGAGATTTAATGTACCAAGTCAATTAAGTTAAAATAAATTTAATTTTTGTTAAAATTAAACATTTAAATATATATTATTGAGCTAAAACTATTTAACAATTTATGAATTTTAATTTATAAATGACTAATAATAAGGATAAAGATAATTATAGTGAAAAAAAACAATTGAAAAATTTTAACATAAACTTGTAAGAATTAACATAAAATATGATAAAAGTGGAATATGCCTTGTTAAATTATTGACGTAAATATTTGATATTTAACGTAACAAATTAATTAAGTCAAAATAAATATAATTTTTGTAAATATTAAATATTTAAATTTATATTATCTAGTTAAAAATATTTAATGGTTTATAAATTTTAATTTATAAATAATAAAAATAAAAATAATTGTAGTGAAAATAAACAATTGAAAACCCTTGATGTAAATATATAAAAATTAATGTAAAAAATTATAAAAGTGGAATAAGAATTGTTAAAATATTAACATAGATGTGTAATATTTAAGGTAAGAAGTCAATCATGTCAAAATAAATATAAATTTTTTAAAAATTAAATATTTAAATTTATATTGAGTTAAAAGTATTTAACGGTTTACAAATTTTAATTTATAAATAAATAATAATAAAGATAAAAATGACTATAAAGAAAATTACTTATTAAAAAATTTTGACATAAACTTATAAGAATTAACGTAAAAAATTATAAAAGTGGATTAAAAATTATTAAAATATTAACTTAAATGTGTGAGATTTAATTTAATATACCATTTAAGTCAAAATAAATATATATTTGTGAAAATTAAAAATTTAAATTTATATATATTATCATGTTAAAAGTATTTAATGAATTATAAAATTTAATTTATAAATAAAAATGAGAATAAAAATAATCGTAGTGAAAATTAACAATGAAAAAAACTTGAAGTAAATTTATAAAAATTAACGTAAAATATTATAAAAGTAAAAAAAATATTATTAAAATATTAACTTGAGTATGTGATATTTAAAGTAACAAGTCAATTACGTCAAAATAAATATAAGTTTCATGAAAATTAAATATTTAAATTTATATTATAAGTTAAAAGTATTTAACGGTTTAGAAATTTTACTTTATAAATGAATAATAATAAAGATAAAAATGGTTATAGTTAAAATTATCAATTGTAAAACTTTAACATTAACTTGTAAGAATTAACGTAAAAAATTATAAAGATGAAACAAATATTATATTAATGTAAATTTATGAGATTTAATATAAAATGTCAACTAAGTCAAAATAAGTATATTTTTTTGTAAAAATTAAAAATTTCAATTTATATTATCAACCTAAAAGTATTGAACAGTTTATAATTTATAAATAAATAATAATAAGAGTAAAAATAATTTTAGTGAAAATTGATTATGAAAAATACTTGACATAAACTTGTAAGAATTAAGTAAAACATTATAAATGTGAAACAAAAATTATTAAAATATTAACTTAAATGTGTGAGATTTAACATAACAAGTCAATTATGTTAAAATAAATATAATTTTTGTAAAAATTAAATATTTAAATTTATCTTATGTGTTAAAATTATTTAATGATTTACAAAATTTAATTATAAATAAATAATAATAATGAAAAAATAATTATAGTTAAGGTTTTAAATTAATAATTGAATGTAAATTTGTAACAATTGAAAAATAAAAATAAAAATATTAAAATATAGAACTAAAAGTTTTGAATAATTTACAAATTTTAATTGATAAATGAATAATAATAAATATAAAAATAATTACAGTAAAAAATTATAATTAAATAACTTTAATGTAAATTTATAAAAATTAATATAAAAAATTATAAAAAAATTATTTAATATTAACATAAATGTGCAAGTGGACGTAAAAGTCAAGTTTAATCGAATTAAATTAATTATATGCAATGTTAATATTAAAAATAATAATATTTTATATTTTAAAGTAAAAAGTAATGTAAAAATAAAAATTAAATAATATTTAAAATAACATAAATAAATTTAAAATTACCCCTAATATCAAAATGAATAAGTTTAAAAATTAACCATGTTATTTAACTGTTTAACTGTTAATTAAATTTTAATTATTTTTTTAAAATTAGAATAAGATTAGGCTTGCTGTAGCGCTAAGCTATTACAAGGATTACAAAATCATAAACCCTTCGCCTCTGTCTCTGTTCATTTCTAAAACCCTAACTTCCTTCCCTTCTGACGAAATCGTTTCTGTACTGTTATACAGAAACAAGTTTGCAGAAAAAATGATAAACACCGTCTTAAAACGCACAGCTTCCTTAGCCTCCAGGCCGATCCTCACGGCGTCCGTTCAAACTCTCCTTCACCACTTCCACTCAACAGCAGCAGCAGCAGCAGCCGCCAGAAATGCTGAGACTCTTTTCATTAACCGATTCAAACCCTTTTCCGGCTTTCCTGGGCCCACCGCGAGGAATTTCCATGCCAAATTAGGGCCGTTGAATTTCAGGGCATCGCCCAGCTGGCAGGCGGAGTATGCTGTCGAAGATTATGAGGAAGATAAGGGAGGTGATGGACTTGACATCTCTAATCTAGGGATTGCTCCGGAGATTGTTTCCGCTTTGAAAAATAGGGGTATTACCAAATTATTTCCTATCCAGGTAAAAAGAAGAAAACATGATGACTTTGTTTTAGCTTTTAATGAAAATTAAAAAAATAAAAGAAAAAGAAAGAATTTCTTCTGAGGGGTTTTTGTTCTTTCTTTCTTTTTCACTATAGAAAGCGGTGTTGGAACCGGCAATGCAAGGAAGGGATATGATTGGACGGGCTAAGACAGGGACAGGCAAAACACTTGCCTTTGGCATTCCTATCATGGACAAAATCATTCGATACAATGCTCAACATGGGTTTGTCTTCTTTTTCTCTTCTTTTTTTTTTCTTTCTGCTGTTAAGGTTGCTGGTGCTTTTGCTAGTTGCTTTCTTTATTTTCGTAAAGAAAAGATAAAAAAAGTGCTTTTGGCTACAAAAGCTTTTTGCACAGCGAATTTCATAATTTTGATTTTATTTATGCATAAATGAATTATGTTTGAATTTGTTTTACGTTTTAGCCATTTACTCATTTTTAATTAAATCGTAATATATGATATAAATTAGCTTTTTAATATCTATTTCTAGCTTTCAGCAGCTATTGAGGAAGCAGAGAGTAAATAGCAAGCCAACAACCGAACAGACTTATTTGTTTTTCTTTTAATTCTTTTACCCATATGGAAGATTGATTGGTTGATTGATTATGGACAATTTTTGTTCTCAAATTAATTATGCATGTCATTGCAGACGCGGTAGAAACCCCTTGTGCTTGGTTTTGGCACCAACAAGAGAACTTGCTAAACAAGTTGAGAAGGAATTTCATGAGTCTGCCCCTAACTTGGATACAATTTGTGTTTATGGGGGTACACCCATTTCTAGCCAAATGAGGCAACTTGACTATGGTGTTGATATAGCTGTTGGTACACCTGGCCGCATTATTGATCTGCTCAAGAGAGGTGCTCTCAATTTAAATGAGGTCCAATTTCTTGTTCTTGATGAAGCTGATCAAATGCTTCATGTTGGATTTGCTGAGGATGTTGAAACCATACTGGAGAGGTTGCCTGAGAATCGTCAAAGCATGATGTTTTCAGCAACAATGCCTAATTGGATCAAAGGACTTACCCAGAAGCACTTAAAAAATCCATTAACAATTGACCTGGTTGGTGTGCCTATCTACTTTTCACCAATCTCCTATGTTCACAGTTATGATTTCTTGTTTTTAGTTTCACCACCTCTATTTGTTTGCAGCATACCTTTTCCTATTATATGGATGCCTTTGGTGTGCAGTTTATATATGGAAATATAGGGATCTAAAATTTTCAATGCATATTGTGGCATGTTGAAAGTTGTGAAATCATAATTTATATACTGCTGCTGAAATTTTGGTTATTATTAAAATTATTTTAACATATACTAAAGGATGAATTCTGTTTTTATCTCTCTTTTTTTTTAATAATGGAGATAAGCTTTGGTAGACGAAAAAATACATGCACATGGCACCACTTATTTCTTGTGGCTTATGTGGCCCTGCAGGTTGGTGAGTCTGATCAGAAGTTGGCAGAAGGAATTTCCTTGTATTCAATTGCAACAGATATGCATGGAAAAGCATCAATCCTTGGTCCTCTAATAACAGTATGAATCATGACATCAGGGTTTTTATTTTCCTGCTTGGCAGATTATCTTTTCTGGTTTTCATTTCTTTTCTTTTCTTTTTTTTTTAAATTCCAGTTTTCGAGCAATCTCAAACACATTATAGTTTTTACTCAATTATTATTTCTTCTTCTCTCATCATAGAATCCATTTGTTAGGAACATGCAAAAGGAGGAAAGTGTATTGTTTTCACTCAAACAAAGCGTGATGCTGATCGGCTGGCATATGCCATGGCAAGGAACTTTAGATGTGAGGCTTTGCATGGTGATATCTCACAAAGTCAGAGGGAAAGGACTCTCTCAGGCTTCCGAGATGGGCATTTTAATATTTTAGTTGCAACTGATGTTGCTGCTCGTGGCCTTGATATACCTAGTGTTGATCTGGTGAGTTTCAAATATCATTCTCTTTCATTGCTTTTAGCCATTGTTTAGATGGTTTTGCTAGAAACTATTGTTCTTGCAGTTGATTTTAGATGATAATTTAATATTGATGCCAGATATGTGTCCAGCTTGTTGTTTTCTTAGTAATGGTACCACTTTCAGGTTAATCTACTTCTTATGGGTCTGTACAATTTGACGTCCTAGAAGAATTTATCTGCTCTAAATTATGCATGATGCGTGGATTTTCTTCTAATCTTATGGTTTATTGTGATTGGTTTCAATTTTCTGCCCTTTTTTGTTTGCAATTGCTTCTTAGCCAATTTCTGGGTTGGGTACTTGGTGATGCAATATTTGTCACATAAAAAATTAGTATTTCAAGAGAAAAATAAGAGAGGAATTATTATTATTGTGTTTAGCCTTGCATAATGCTTAGGGACCATCGTTTTGTGCAAAATGGAAAAAAGTATTGGGCTTATGTAAAAAATAAGTTTGGGCTGAAGTCTTTGGAGTGGCTAGTTTGGATTAGAGTATATATGTTAACATTGCTTTGAGCTTACCCTCAAGGATCCTGCAAACTTTGGGATTGCAAACTTTGGGATTGCAAACTTTGGGATTGATATTCAGTTAAAGACTATTTGTTGGGGTGGCCATTGCCTTAGGCCATTTATAGAGTATTGGGCCATGATTGTTAATTGTTAAAATTAATACAAATTCTGTAGACATGCTATGGACAAGTCTATATGTTGAAATAGGAAGTTATAAAGGAATGCAGACTGCTAATTACTAGTGATGAATTTTCTCACTATTAATTTTTTTTTGGAATCCATGACACTTCCTAGATTGTAAGCGTTCGTAGATTCTAGCACTATTTTCATAGAAGGCTTCTGCATGCATTAATATTGTTGATTCTGAAATTGCAATAAATTGTTACTTTGCTTCCCCTTTTGTTTGCTTCAGTTTGTGCTTGGCTGAAGTTGTAAATAATTAGCATGTGAGGCGATATTCTCTCATAAGCTTATAGTGTTTGATATTTGATGCGTTCAATAATTTTGTATAGTCTGAGCTCCTTTTAAAGCTGCTAACTTTTCTCCTTATTATACTTTTAAATGTTTCTAATTAATCTTATATTCTTAATAGATAATACATTATGAGCTTCCAAACACATCTGAAACTTTTGTTCATCGAACTGGCCGAACTGGTCGTGCTGGAAGGAAAGGAAGTGCAATTCTTATTTACACTCGAGAGCAGAGTAGGGCTGTTAGGGTTATTGAGCGAGAAGTAGGATGCAGATTTTCTGAGGTATCCTATATCCCTCTTGATTTTCATTTTTGTACTCCTTTTGCGTTTTCCTTTTTTTTTCCTTTGGGGGGATTAAAACCATGTTTTATTAATATTTCTGCAACCTTGATATATCCATATTTTATGGACCTTGAACATTAGGAAAGTCAAAAAACTTCTAAAGGTCTAAAGCCAAAGTGAAGTATTTCAAGTAGGGCAAAAGTCAAAGAGTTTGACTTTGAGACATTTTTAGCCTTTTGGAAGTGGAGCTAGCTAGAACTTTAAAGCTATTTCAGCCTTTTGTCTTCTTATGTAATCAAAACCGGTTTTTATATATTTATTTTGTCAGTTTTGACTTGTTCACAGTTAATAATATCTTCTAAACCAAAGGCCTCACTTTTCCAGTTGAACTGTCCAGTTTGATTTGATTTTTAAAGCACTTCTCTTTTAATTTTGCCCTAAATTTTCAGTCTCAAGTAGTTAAGTTTCAATTAATGCTTTACACTATCAATTTTTTATTCAAATCTCAAATTCCAAAGTAATTAAAGCATGGAAGGTGTGAGATTTTCAGCCTTTATTTCTTGGGAAAGAGACAAGAACTATTGTAACTCACAAAAACATCTAATTGTATGTAAACTACTAATATGTAAGAAACCTCTAGCATGAGAGAGTTTTTGATTCAATCTTTACTCCTTAAATCATTAAGCCCATGTTAAGAATAAAATAAAGATTACAAAAGAACAAAAGTTTACTTGTGACAATTATTATTAACTAACAAATTATTCTAAAAAGAGAAGTCTAACATAAGATATTGTGAGTTTTATAAATTAAGGACCTCTTGTTAAGAGGAAGCATTCTTGAATCGTGGGAGCAATCCCAACATGGAAGACTCTCAAAACTCACATTAATATTTACTATAAACTGTTTTGGTTTTGAGAGTGTATAGTTAAAGAATTTTTTTTTTTGAAAACAATCATAAGATTTAAATGAACTTTATGCATCATCTAATATACTAGAGGGAATGATCAAAAGGTTGACAATTATTTTGTGGGGAGGGGTGATAATGTTTGACTCTGTTCTTAGTCTGGCACTTGAGCCTCTTGCCACTGACATTTATGTTGTTTTGAAATGAATCACTCTATGTCTGTAAATTAATGCTTAGAGATGAATTGTTGCTTGGGTCTAGTGGAAATGCCAGTTCCCATTTTACAGGGGCAAGAAATCTTGTTGTTCAGCAGTGTACTATTAGTATCTGTTCTATTCTTGCTGGATCACATATGCCCCAATTTTAGTTGAAGTATACTGGTTTAAAAGTTGTAAATGATGTCAATTGTAGCCATATTCGTAGATGGATATGCATACAAATAATCAAATTCTCATGATTTTGGCTGAAGTGCTCATGAGTATCATAGCTGGAAAAATTTACAGAAGTTTAACATTAATTACTATGTTACTGTATATTTTCATGGATTGAACTTATAGACTGATCACTTGTTAATTTACTGTAGCTTCCTAAGATTGAGGTTGAGGGTGGGAGCACTGACATGTTCAATGAGATGGGTGCTGGTAGTCGCTTTGGGTCATTTGGAGGTATGCGAGATCGGAGATTGGGTGATATGGGTTTTGCTCGTTCTGGTAGGCAAGGGGAATATGGATTTGGCCGTCCTGGAGGCAATAGGAGTCCTGGATTTGGTCGTAGTGGTGGTCAGTTTGCTGGTGAGATGGGGAGCTATGGAGGTTCTAGCTCTAGTCGCTTTGGTTCTAATAACCGGTCTGGAAACTTTGGTGGTCCTGCATTCAGCCGTCCAGGTGGATTTGGGGAGTTTGGCAAACTGGATCGTTCTAGCGGCTTTGGTAGCTTTGGTCCTAGACGTACTAGTGGATTTGGAGAATTTGGTTCAAGCAATACAGGTGGATTTGGTGATAATCGTTCTGGTAAAACTACCGGTGGCTTTGGGAGCTCTGGTTCTGGTCGTTCTAGTGGATTTGATGACAATCGTTCAGGCCAAAGCAGTGGGAGCTATGGTAATGATGATCAGAGCACTGGAAGAAGACCCTTTTAAATTCTTTTGAGGTAAGTGTGACATAGGTGAACACACGTAGGAATTCCCTCTCTGTTCTTGGTATTTCTTGCACCTTTTGCTTTTAATTCGATATGAACTTCTATTAACTCATGAATCATGAATTACATACATCTTTGCAAGATTGCCCGGTGCCACCTAATTTTCTATGTATTCTTAACACTAATCATCTGTCCTTAGGTTTGTGTTCATTGGTTTTCTCTGGTAAAACATTCAAAGTTATAGTGGATTACATTTAGTGAGTGTATGATCACTGGAAATATCATTTTTTTTCTTTTCTGTTCTTGGCTTCTTGTCTTGTAGAAATGGAAAACTGCTGCTGCATAGAATGTAAAGTTGATGGGCTAGTGTATTCAACTGAGTACATTTGTTTTGGATTTTCTTGGATCCAAAAGGGAAAGTGTAACGGGAAGCGAGTAATTCTTTTAGATGTATCTACTCACTTGAGCAGCAATGGTTATTGTTCATTTCCTTAAATATTCCTTTTGCTTTAGTCAATCATATAGAAGTTTTTGGAGATATCATGTTGTAATCTTTTGGAGAGTTTCGATAAACTGGGTTCAACAGTGCTCATCCAAACTTGTAGCTCGTGGAACAGCTTGTAATGAATACACATTAAATAAATATTCCTAGCTGATAATATTGAAATAACTAAGTCTTTGTTTGGTTTGTTAAAAACTTTTTTTTGGAAGAGAAATATCTTCCATTGTTTGGACAACGCTATATAAAGCATTTTCATGTGTTTGGCATCAAAAGGAAATGCTCCACTTTTTCTTTTCTGTTTAATTTAGCAAGAGACTGCACCAAAACCTCCCACTCTGCTTTGCCTCTTTCTAACTAGTGGTTGGCTGCTCCCCTCTCTCCTTCACTTCTGGTTGAAGTGCACCTCTGCTCAAGGCTCACCAACTCTCATTCTATTATTTTCCTGTTTTCTCTCCTTTGGCTCTCTCTCTCTCTCTCTCTCTCTATATATATATATATATATATATATATATATTCTCTCTCTTGGGTAATGTGTTCTCTTTCTATGAGTATAGTTGTTGGAGGAAGATGGTTGGCACCAGTGGCAGCAGGTGGTGAGCTTCAGTGACAGGTAGAGTTAGTGATGTGAAAGAAAGGTGCCATGGGGTAGAGGGGAAGGTCTGCGACCAGTGTCCTAAAACAATGAATTTTTCTTTTTTTTTGTGCTTCAGAGAGGGGCGTGGGACCAGAAGTTGTTTTCTGCTCTCTTATTTTAAATTGGCCTTTTATTTTTTGGAACATTCCAAAAGCCAAGCTCTGGAAAATGCAGAAAATGACTTCCCAAAAGCAATTTTCATGAATGGAGCTTATAAATTTTGGATGATGTACTGTTTCTTTTTGAGGCTTTATCTTCATTTTCCTCTATCACATTATTTTGATGACAAAATATGCATTCTATGCTTAAACATGATTTTTTATTGGTGTTATGTCTATTTGATAATTTAAGTTCACTGATACATGCTAGGCTGCTAACAGGTGCTTAGTTTATCCCCTTGCTCATCAACAGGCTTTTGTGGCCTGTGATAGCTTTGGTTTTCATGTGCATTTATTTTGGAATGGCAGGAAGAAGGCGCCATTCCAGTGAGAAACAGATACTGAGAAACAAGGATTCTTTGGGTAGGTGAAGTTTATTGGAAGGGAAGAGAGAAAGAGGGAGAATCCCCACTCCCCCTCCCTCTCCCCTCTCCCATTAGGGTAACTCAACTAATATTTACTAGTTATTCGCATGGGAATGTTTTCAGATGCTGGCTGTTGATATTCAAATTATTGTGGTACTAAGGTTGTGGTTGATTTTGGGTGTATTTACATAGCAAGCAGCAACTTTTTAGCTGTGTTCTTGACGAATGATAGGAACGTGAACCTTTCAAAGCTGTTGTTTCAGAATCGAAGGGCCACTTCACTATAGTTTGGTTTGCTTTAATTTTTAATCATATTGACGAAGGCATGCGCCAGGTTTTCTTTAATGGATGATAAGATCATCATAGTACAGTGTGATTGGCATGTGCAACTTTGATTGCATTATATCTCCTATCTGTCATTGGAATTTTACTGCAAGTGTGAAAAACAACTGGATTTATTAGGGTGATCCTTTCTTTTTAAAAAAAATATTTTGGATTTGAACAATAGAAATACATTTGGAGACTAAGATTTGAGGAAACAGCTTGGATTTGGATGGGTGAAATCATTTAGAAGTTGGAATGAATGTGGACTATATCTCAAAACTAACAGAGATTGGGTAATTATGATGTTTCAGTTTAGAAACCTCATTTCTATCCACATTACAAAGAATGACTTCTCGCACTTGTATAAATTGAAATAATATATGTGATGCAATGCAAGGATATGGAATCATTTAAACTTTTCGTACCAGTTGTTCATAGTTTTCTATCAAGATGTTCAGCCCCTGCCTCTCTAATCTTCATCTTTTTTTCACCACAAAGTTCTTAGCTTTAAATTCTGGTAATTGCTAAGTTGTGCCCCTTGACACAAAGCTGTACATCTTTCTTATCTAATTTCGAGCTTTAACATTATTGAGGTATAGCATTTTTTGCCATGATAAGAATAATGCTTCCTCTAACACTGAAGTGGTTCTCAAGTCTCCACATCTGATTAAGTTACAAGCTCAAGGACCTAAACTCGCAGTGGGATAAACATTTTTGTCATTACTTCTCATTGTATAATGCCAGAATTGAAAAGAGGCAAAGTTAGTCAAAATATCTTACCTTCAAGGAAAACCAAAGTTTTAAGACATCTTTACAGACTAAAGAGGTTTAACATAATGGTTTGTTACCGCCTTGAACTACCAGTGGGTCTAACATTGTGACTATCAAATAGACTGATGTTGGTCTCATGGTTGCCGTTGCTGGTTACTGTCCGGTTGGTTTTCTGGCTGTTGTACTCGGTGCTGCCGCTGCTGCAGGGTTCCATTTATACGCTGTTGGGGAGATTGCGTATGTCTTCTTCTTCTCCATCTAAGGTATTCCACCAGAAGAGAATTTGTACTAATTGCAATACCGAACCCAGTGAACGATGAAAGGAGGACAGAAAGAACCGCGTTCACCTCAAGCTGCAAGTTTAAGGAAGAATATTTAGGAGCTTAACTCCAATTCCCTCCCTTGGAATAAATGTTGCTGGCGACTGAAGCTACGGAAAACAAAATACACAGTTGTTGAAGGCATTTGTTCTACTTACTACTGTATAGAAGATGTGAGCGAACAGGATAACCATCGCAAACTGGAAGGAAGAATAGGCCCATATGTAACTCCTGCTCACTGCCATCATCAGAGACTGAAAGTCACGAGAACTAATGAAACAATATCAAGCTGCCATCAAATATGAGAGATAACCCAAAGAAAAAAAATTAAAATAAAAAACAAAAAATTTAGTAGATACGGTCTAACACTAGCACTATGCTTGTTAGAAAGGAAAATAGAAGGGAAGGAAAAAGATGAGGAAAGAAAAAATGAAAGGATCTTTTGGTATTGTATGAAAGATGAAAAATAGTTGAAAAGGATTAGATTTGGAATGAAGTTGAATGTGCAAATCCATCTATTTCCTTTCCCTCTTAACAAACGAAGAAAAGGAAAGAAAGAAACACTACTTTCCTTCCTTCCTCTTTCCTTCCTACCAAACATAGTGTATGTATTCTAGGTTGTTTTAAGTTTTTTTGAAAGTTGTATATGTATTCTAGTTGTTCCACTAGAACGATAGCCTCCCCGCCGAGAAGGAAGAAAAACAGAATCTTTCCAGCTCCTTTGTCTCCTATTTCCTATGTGCAGTCACTTGAGCTTTTGACATATTTCATGGCTAATTCTTGCTCTTATGGTTCTGCAGATATGGACCAAACAGCTCTAGCAGCAGAAGGCAATGAACAGATGGCAGAAACTACAGGAAGCTTATGGGAAATAAAATAAAATAGCAAAATTGGAGTTTATTCAAGATTTCTTGTAGTTTTATTTCAATTTAACAAGGGTCAATTCATGTCTGTATAACAAATAATTCCACTGACTAGTTTTATAGTTTTGTTGGGTTTCTGAGGTAAGCTAAATGGAAATAGATATATTTGAAATTCAGCAGATATCCTTTATTTTTTCTCTTTTTTGTAATGTAAATATTTCTTAACTGTGACAAAAAATGCTAGTTCATTGGATATGCAGAATGATTGTAGGTTTATGTAAAATTCCTAGTTTTACCAAATAAAACTAAACAATATATCTCAGAAAAAAGCAAAATATTTTCTTCCTGAGAAGGTTTCAAGTCATTAAAGTCTGTATATGGACTTTTGAATAGTTTAGGACTATGCACGCTAGTCAAAGTCTCTATTTCTTCTCTAGTTAGGAATTTACATCCTAGTGGTGTAAGGTGCTACCATACGCCTAGAAAAAACTGTCAAAATTGACAATGACAAATAGTGAGGTGATTTGCTTGCTCTCAAGGAGTGTTTGCCTTTTTGTTTTTGGTACAGGAGGAAGCACAGCAGCTCAAAGCTAGGATCTCTATCCATATCCCAGCCCACCCTACCATTTGAGCTAAGCAGAAGTGGTAGTGTTTGCCATCTTTGTACATTTAGGAAATTTTACATCAGATAACCTATGTTTCTTCTTCCCTTGATATGTTATCATTCTATTTTTTTTTTCTCCTGCACACAGTTCAGAATTCAGATTGCTATCTGACATTTTTTCTTTTCCTTTATCTACCAGAACCTGAGCACCTTTTCCATTTTTGTTATTTCTCAGCATGCAGGCCATTCTTCTGTCTATTCCAATGAATATCAGAAATCCGAAAACAGATGTCACTCTTTTGCCTTTATCCCATCTACCGTATCACAGTTTGTGAACTAACTATCCACCATCAGAAGAGCTTCCTATCCAACATTCTGACATTATGCAGTTCAAATTTTCAACTTTGACATCCTTAAGGAGTTGTTAAATTAGTCACTGGACTTAGAGTTTAGGCATACATTATGTGGCTTAGAAGGGAAAGCTTCCCTTCTTCAATCATATAAAGTAACTGTTTGATTTATTTATAGCAAGCTTATTGCATTCTTATTCATGATGAACTTGTGCTAAGTTTGAGATTGACAATGGTATGACTCACTTCTGTATGCAGCATTAAGTTGACTAGTTCACAGTTATCCAATAATAATAATAATAATAATCAAAAGTTCACTAGTTCAGACATATTATATTAACAACCCTAGGGATCTTACAGGGGTAACAAAAATAGATAAAAAAAAAAACTGTATGTCCATAAATGACATGAGAAGGGCGAAAGCTTTAAACAACATTTTATCTCTATTTTCAAACTTTCATTTGTATCAATATCCAACATGTTATTTGTGAACTGGAAACAAATTGGTGAAATTTGGACTACCTATTTGATACACCAGTTTTTTTAGTAGGAACTAGGTATTATGCAACCAGGAGCACAGCGGTATTAAGAAAGCACTGCTATAAAATTAAGGTTTTGTTCCCAACGTAAATGCCCTTGGTGTTTTGTCAATCAATAAATGATATACTCACCCATTGTTGAAGCAATTGTAGAGGAAAAAAGACCTAAAGCACAGGAAAATGGTAATGAGATGGCTAGAGCACGTGGACCCAAGTCAGACACCTGTGTAGATTGAAAAATTGTGAAATCTATAAATCAACTTGTTCTGTAAAAGAAAATTGTTGAAAACTAATATGTTAAAATGGAAGAAAATGCTCAAAATATGCATATATAAAAGCTTATAAAATGAAGCATGCACATTGCGATTTCTTGCAGCAGCCTTTGAAAATCAAAGTTTATAGAACATATAAAATGAAGCATGCATGTTGAGACTTCTTCAGTAGCCTTTCAAATCAAAGTCTATAGCCTCAAAAGAATAGTTTCATATGAAAGACTAACTTATGGCATCAACAAGAAACATTATTATGCTTCAAATGATATTTTATTTGGTGGAAAGTAACTAGGGGCAAACTTTGGTGGCAAAGAACCAAGCTCTGTTATTGCAAAAGGAAACAAGACAGAAGAAAGGATTCTAGTGAGATACATAGTGATAATTAAGGTTAAAATTACCTTGGGCAATAACAACATTATTATTAAGAAATTTTTAGCATCTAAAGCAGATCTTTGACCAGTTATTTAGGTGCTATTAGTCAAAGGTTTGCAGAAAGGAAAATGTCATATTTGGCCCCCATAGTTTAGGAAGATGTCTAATGTGATACATGTAATAATAAAATGTTCAATCTGTTGCCTGAACTTTCATGCCATGTATTTAGTCCAATAGCAAACATCGTTAACCCAATTTGCTTATGTGTCATGATCAATAGGAATACGCCATGTGTGAAATAAAAATTATCAATTTTTTTTTGAATTTCCACATGGATGACACATAGCAAGCTTCCATTGGTAAGTGAAAAAGATACATATATTTTTTTCAAAAATTTCATGACATTATCATTTGCTTTAAACAAATTCAAAAAATAATTCATTTTAAAAAAATTCAACTATTTTCCCTGTTACTTTCTTTTTTTCTTATATTTTACTTTTCTAATTTTTTTCATTTTCTTCTTGTCATTTTTGTAAAGTTTTCAAAATTCAAAATTACAAAGAAAATTAACTTTTCTTTTTCTTTGCAAATTACAACCAAATTCACCTTAATTATTCTATTAAATCCCAATCTTTGAAATTTGTTAACATGAACACAGAATTCCAAGCAAAGAGATAGATCCCAGATTTTCTTTCAAATTCAGATTTTCTTACACTTTCTCTCACTTTGTCACTAACCAAACAAATTTTAACACCAAAATCCTTTATTTTATTATGATTCTCACTCTTTTAAAAACCCGTTTTAGTGAACCGAAGCAAATAAAACCTCCCTCCAAGATTGAACCATAGCTAATCTAGATTGATTATCCACTCAACAAAACCCTCCATCTTTGATTCTTCTCGACTGCACTCCACTTGGCTAATCATCATCATTGTCATCACCATCCTCATTTATCCCCTTCAAGAGCAATTCCAACCTGATCCTAATAACCTTCAAATTCCCAAAACCCATCTTACAATATCAAATTAATTCAATTTGGACAAAAATCAACCTAAAAAATCATTAATTAGTTGGTCCATCATATGTGCAAAACTCTTTTTAACACCTCACACTTGCAAAATTCAAAGCCCATTGATCTATCTCTGCCATTATTTTTGTTGCCTTCTTTTTGTTATGTGAATGGTATTGGAGAATCTGAAGGGTTATGAGAGGTGAGATAGATGGATGGGTGAAGGAGAGTCCAGCTAAAAGGGGAAGGTGGCTGTTCGTGTCGATCAAGAAGTAGTGAGACAATGAGAATGAGAAAGCCAGAGGCCAATAGAGAATGAGGGAAGAAGGACAGGGAGGAATGCACAGTGGAGTACCCGCTGCCAGATCAAGTCTTTGGCTGTTAAATCAATGGTGGGTATGGCAGGCAGTGAGGAGTGAGAACCACATTGCTTGAAGTCGGAGGTGAGTGTTTCATACAAGTATGTGTATAACATGGGTACATTTAATTTTTTCTAAGTTTTTTCATATATTTGGAAAGTTGGACCTCCAGACACATATTCGTTAGATACGTATCGAACACAGATACTTCAAGGAAAATGAAAGGTTGAAGAAGAACAGAAAGATTGAAAGAAAAAAAATGGGAAAAAAGAAGTTTAAAAAAATGCGATTTTTTTTTCAGGTAGTTGAATTATTTTTTGATTAAAAAGGTAATGTTGTAAAAAATCTACATTTTTTTAACCTTCCAATGGAGGCTTGCCACATGTTCCCATGTGGAAAATTAAAAAAATTCAATAATTTTCATTTTCACACATGGCATGCTCCTTTTGGTCAAATGCCACATAAGCAAATTGGGTTAATGATCTTAGCTGTTGCACTAGCTTGATACATAGAATGAAAGTTTGGGTACCACATTGAACATTTTATTAGTACGGGTACCATCTTAGACATTTTCCTAATCTATAGGGGCCAAATATGACATTATCTCGACCACAGAAAGACATAGTGATATTCTTCTCCATGTAGGAACATTACGGGTTCATATGCATATAAAATACGACCAACACATACATTGAGAGAGCAATAAATTTAGTAAACAGTGCAGGCAATCAGCGCTATTAAGCTGACTTTGATTCTTTTGAAAGCGACATCAGCTTTTGCTAGCTGTGAAACATACTTGGTTTATACTACAACTAGATGCCCATGCAGGAAAATAGTAATAAGCATGTGATTTACTGGCTGCCATCAAAAGAGAAACCAAAATATGAAAGAAATCCAATCAAATGGCACAGAATATATAAGTAAAAGATGCTTACAAGAAGTTGTTCCAGAAAACAGAAGTAAGCCAATATGCTGACCATGACCAGAACTGGTACATCCCGCCAGACCCTATTGATCATGCAACAAGTGGAACACTGATAAGACTTCAAAATTAACTCATGTATGCAAAAATAGAATACATGCATAATACAGATCTAGATTACTCATGATGACCCAAAACTTCTTATAACATTATCTTCTTTTGGTTTTCCCATCTTTACTTTAACATCTCTCCTTAAAAATTGAATGATTATCCAACTAAATGAAGGATGCAGTTAACACATTGTAATTACAAAAAGAAGAAATAAGCTTTTTCGCAACATATGGAATTGGCTACATGGACCTTATTACACCATTATGCAACATTTAGGACCAGATTATTAGTCATCTCACTAAATACAGGGTCCAATTTGATACTTATTCCATGGTCTTCCCCTTCCCTTTACCATGGGCATCCTGCATAAAATCACGTACTTTTATAACAGCATATGTAAGTCATAAACATAAATGTCCAACTACCCGAAACTCTAGTCTGTCATTAAACCAAAAAAAACTCCTCCAAAATCTATACCATCCATACGATTATAAAAAGTGAGTAGCTGAGTGTGGTGTTATGAGTTAAGTGACACCAACTTAGTTCTAAATATTACAAAACAATCTAACAAAATAATAAAAAAAATATAGAAATACGGTTATATAAGGTATTTGATTTCAAAATATCAGAAATGGCATCCATTTCTGAGTTGATTTTCTCAATATTTTTTTTTTGTTTCAAGTGCACCTAAAAGGAAAAAAATTCCCGTTTTATTTAGAGAAAAATGCTACCTTCCACTTCCTCCCTCTTTCACCCATGTAGTGGATGTCATACATTCAAGAAAAGAAAACAAGCCTATCCAGAAAATACAAAGTTACCAGGTAAAAGCCCCGACTAAAATAAACATAAAATCACCAAAATATCCTTGCTGTCCAAACAAAAGATAAATCTGGAAGAAGGAATTATCAAGGTTTACAATGAAAATAACAGTCAAATAATTTATATTTCACACCAATGGAATAAGTACTTATGAAACAAAGTTAGCTAAAAAGGTGAAAGGGAGAACTTGCCTGAAACGACCAACCTGAGCCTGTTGTGGCACAGTAGGAGGTCGTCTGGTAACAATCCGTGGATCATTCATTTTTAATAATGTTACCGGCAGATTCTGAACATCTTGCTTGCAGACATCACATGTCTTGTTTCCTTTGATGCTAAACCACTTCACTGCACACTCTTTGTGAGCAAGTGCAAGCTCTCCTTTACAGCTACACTCCATCTTCAGAGTCTCACCTCCTTCACCAAGCTCGACCAAACAAATCCTGCATACTGCTTCTTCTTCAGGAATGTCTTCACCTACATCTTCACTAGCTGAGAACATGTCACGAGATTGTAAGTTATATCTTTATCTATGGGGACAGTCCTATGACAAAAGTGGTAATCAGATAGAATAAAACATTTGTAGACACGATGGCCAGAGTCTCGTATCACCATACCTCACCTTGACTTATTAAGCTGCAAAAACATTAAAATTTAAAGACTAACGAAGCAAGTCATAGAACAAAGCACCCCAAATGTGATCACCACAAGATCATATTAAGCTTGAATAAAGCTCCGAAGAAATAGTTCATATCAAATCCTTAAACATTTATCATATGTCAATGGAGTTACTTTTAATCATGTCATAAGCACCAACAAATTCATAGAACAGCCTTGCATCAATCCAACCAGACGGACAACTAACAAGACCTAGGAAAATGCAGGTACAAAGAAGGTAAAAAAAAATTATCAGGAATTCTAAGAGAAAACATGGCACAGCTCCCATTGTTGGAATACAATCACTAGAAGTCCATGTCAAAACATTAAATTTGACATAAAGGAAGAATAAAGCCAATCATAATTAAAATAGCTTGCATACAAGGGGGAAAAAGAGGAAGAAAGAAAAACAGAAGTAGCATGCATGGAATATTTTGTCAAGAGTTAAATAATTGAACCAAATTGATCATGTAAATTTAATAAACAAATTGAGGTTTCTGACTTGAAATTCCAGGATAAGAAAATTAGCACCTACTGATTTCTGTTGAAGGAACATCATTTGGCAAGGCACCCTCAACTGGCACAGGATGAGAGGTTGCTGAAATTACACGGACCAGACCTCGCCCAGAGTCTGCTCGCCTTATACTTCTAGGTTTAACATGAACTGGTACAGATAATGAGCGTGTCATAAGCTGCTGAGCTACTGACTTCTGTAGGCAAAAAGCATCTTTTGTAAATAGCATAAAGAAAAATATTTAAGGTTGTAAATGTTTAATGCACAAACTCCTAGTTGCACCTTAAAATGAACATAAAGTATCAACATATACTGGAACTAAGTTAAGGATGAGACAAAAGGGACTTACAGAAACATGAGATTGAGCATCTATATGTCTTTCCGGTATAGACTTTGAACCTGAATACGCAATTGGTGTAACTGGTAAAGAATGTGCTGCCTTTGTTGAAGGGAACAAAACTTTGTTGAGAGAAAATGACCTTGAAGTAGAAGGCTTCTCCCAAGAACCATCAGATGGAGGTGTGTCTGGAACAATTAGAACCATCTTCTCACCTTTTTGGCACATATTGTTTGCCCTAAAGCTCCTTTGGGGAACGATACTTCTAACAGAGGATCTGATTTTAGCCGAATGTGGTCTAGGAGGCAGCCCTGCTTTAGTAGAACTAGGACTTGGGTCAGAAGGAATATCTACACTCGTAAAATCATAGAAAGAACTTTCCAAAGACCTTGAAGGTATTTGCAAAGAGGAGAGATTCGGCCGTTTAGTCTGATGAGAGGCTTCTATGCTTTTCTCCATATCAATGCATACCTCAAAACCATCACCACCCTTTCATTAAGATCAAAATGCAGCAAGCAACAATGAGTTGGAAAGAAAATAAGAGAAAGCAAAAGCTACAAACACCACTTCAACAAAAGTGCATATGTTATATGAAGCTACACTAACCACACTTAAAGCCTAAGATTGTCCCAGCACTTTTAAACTGCTTGTAAAACACATCCAAGAAGCTTAACAAATAGCTATGATAATGTCAGGATAATTGATATTCAGCTGTCAGTCATAAAAGCAGAACACAAATAAACCTCGATCAGATCGTTGCACTTGGATGTCATACACCAGACTACTTTTTCTTTAGATTTATTCTTTCAAACATCTACTCTTGAGGACACAACACTCGTCGCTTCTAAAGGCACATAGAGAATTAAGATTAAGTTCATAAAGATAACTACGAACAAGTTGGGTGCAGGGATAAATGGTAAGGTTTCCAAGTAAACTTGTATTCATATTTTTTTTTCTTGATGTAAACATTAGGATTTAGGAAATTCCTAGCAGGCAACAAGTCATTTTAATTTGAAAAAAATGAACCCGGAAAGTTTTTACTTATTATTCATGCCACTTGAGAATGGTTGGACAGGCCGACCGTGGGACAAACTAGCATAACTCTTCAAATTAAAAAGCTCCTTGGGATCATGCCTAATCTACGAATGTCTTAGATGAACTAAGACATGAATTTGTTTAGCCCATTAGAAGCCATGACAAATTTAATGAACATCAACCGACTAACAGAACAAGGAAGCAAAGCAAGTGAGAACAAAACCCAGCAGAATTTCACTGAGACCACATCAAACAAAGCTTTACTTCGATTTGGTACTAATAAAAATTGGCAGGTTATTGGATTTGTGAAATACTAGTAAACTCACCTGAGCATGATTCGGAGGATCTGAAGAAGATGCTTCATTGCGCTGATGTTCAGCAACTGACTTCTCCATCTCCTCCTCCCACGAAACGAAATAAAATTAAAACTAATGAGCAAAAAACTCTAGATTGAATTCAATTTTGGAAATACAAAAAAGGAAACAGCAATCATGCGAACAAGAATGAGTGCACTGTTTGGAGGGCCCTCAGATAATTATTTTATTTTATTTTTTAATTTTAAATTTGTTTCCTCCTTTTTCCAGTCGCAAGTTGCTGCCATTCCAAGTCCAACTCCGTCAGTACATTTTCCACGCTACTGTACTTCGTGTTTTTTATTTTCTACTTGCCCCCAGAAGCGCCGCCGGACTTCTGAAGATAATAGACCGTGACGTCATCACGTCGAGCCAATTAGATTCTTTTGCGGCAAATTACACTCTAGTGTAGTGGAATGCAAGAAACTTAACCGCCGGATGTTTTATCCAACTTCGCAAGTACCGTTTCGTGTAAGCAAATTCTGTTCTTTAGATAGGCTCTTTTAGAAATTATTTATTTGCATTGTTTTTATTTGATAGTTGAAATGTTATATTATAAATAAAATTATTATTATCACAAATTAAAAAGTTAAAATTAAAAATATATAATAAAAAAAACACATGTAATTTAAAGTTATTATTAAAAAATTTAAACCTAAAGTTTTTAAAAGTTATGATTAAAAATTTTTAACGTAAAATAATAAAAATTAATATAAAAATTAATAAAAATAAAATAATTAAATTTAAAATCTTAATATAAATGTGTAAGAGTTATCATACCAAGTTAATTAAGAAAAAAAATTTAATTTTAATAAAAATAAATATTTAAATTTATATTCTTGAATTAAAAGTGTTTAAAGATATATAAATTTTAATTTTTAAATTTTGATGTAAAACGATAACAATTGATGTAAAAACTTATAAGAAAATAACTAAATTTTAAATCTTAATGTAAATATGTAAAAATACACATAACAAGTCAATTAACTAAAAAAAAATTTAATTTTAGTGAGAATCAAATATTTAAATTTATATTTTCAAGCTAAAAATAGTTAATGATATATAAATTTTAATTTTTAAATAAAAAATTATAATTCAAAATTGACATAGATAAATCTTTATATAAAATTATAAGAATTAATATAAAAACTTATAAAGATGGAATAACTAAATTTTAAATCTTAACGTAAATATTTAAAAGTTAACGTAATAAGTTAATTAAGTAAAAAAAATTAATTTTAATAAAAAAATAAACATTTATATTTATATTAACGGATTAAAAGTATGTAATGATATTCAAACTTTCATTTTTAAGTGAAAATAATAAGAATAAAAATACTTATAGTTCAATATTAATATAAAAAAGTTTTAACGTAAAATTATAAGAATTGAAGTAAAAACTTATAAAAGTGGAATAACTAAATTTTAAATCTTAACGCAAATGTGTGAGAATTAACGTAACAAGTTAATTAAGTAAAAAAATCTAATTTTAGTACAAAATATTTATTTAAATTTATATTTTCAGATTAAAAGTGTTTAAGGATATATAAATTTTAATTTTTTTAAAAAATAATAAAAATAATTATAATTCAAAATGAACATAAAAAAATATTGACGTAAAACTGTAAGAATTGACGTACAAATTTATAAAAGTGAAATAATTAAATTTTAAATCTTAACATAAATACGTGAGAGCTAACATAACAAGTTAATTAAATAAAAAAATCTAATTTTACTGTAAAATAAATATTTAAATTTATATTCTCAGAATAAAAGTATTTAACATATATAAATTTAAATTTTTAAATAAAAATAATTATAGTTCAAAATTGACATAGATAAATCTTGACGTAAAACTGTAAGAATTGAAGTAAAAACTTATGAAGGTAGAATAACTAAATTTCAAATTTTAACATAAACGTGTAAGAGTTAACGAAATAAGTCAATTAAATAAAAAATATAATTTTCATAAAAAATAAATATTTAAATTTATATTCTCTTACTAAATGTGTTTAATGATATACAAATTTTATTTTTTAAATAAAAAATAATAAAGATAAAAATAACTATAGTTTAAAATTGATAAAGATAAGTTTTAACATAAAATTGTAACAATTGACGTAAAAACTTATAAAAGTGCAATAACTAAATTTTAAATCTTAACGTAAATGTGTGCGAACTAACCTAACAAGTCAATTAAGTAACAAAAATCTAATTTTAGTGAAAAACAAACATTTAAATTTATATTCTCAAAATAAAAGTGTTTAACGATATTCAAAATTTAATTTTTAAATAAAAAATAATAAGATAAAAATAATTATAATTCAAAATTGACATAGACAAATTTTGAGGTAAAATTGTAAGAATTGACGTAAAAACTTAGAAAGGTAGGATAACTAAATTTTAAATCTTAATGCAAATATGTGAGAATTAAAGTAACAAGTCAATTAAGTAAAAAAATTTAATTTTAGTAAAAAATAAATATTTAAATTTATATTCTCGAATTAAAAATGTTTAACGATATACAAATTTTAATTTTTAACTAAAGAATAATAAGGTTAAAAATAATTATAGTTCAAAATTGATATAGATAAACCTTGACATGAAATTATAACAATTGAACTAAAAATTTATAAAGATGGAATAACTAAATTTTAAATCTTAAAGTAAATATGTAAGAGTTAACGCAATAAGTCAATTAAGTAAAAAAAATCTAATTTTAGTAAAAAATAAATATTTAAATTTATATTCTTAAGTTAAAAGTATTTAATGATATATAAATTTTAATTTTAAAATAATAATAATAATTATTATTATTATAATTAAGACTTGATATAAATAAGCTTTAAAGTAAAACTATAATATGACGTAAAAATTTATAAATGTAAAATAATTATATTTTAAATCTTAACGTAAATATGTTAGAGTTAACTTAATAAGTCAATTAAGTAAAAAAATCTAATTTTAATGAAAAACAAGCATTTATATTTATATTATCGGGCTAAAAGTATGTATCAATATGTAAATTTTTATTTTAAATAAAAAATAATAAAAATAATGATAATTATAGTTAAAAGTTAATATTGAAAAGGCTTGACGTAAAATATTATAAAAGTGAAATAAACTAATTTAAAATTTTAACATAAATGTGTGAGAGTTAACGTAATAAGTGATAATAATAATTTTGATTAAATTAATTAATTAAATATAATTTTAGTATTAAAAAATAATATTCTTATTGTTTAAAGTTAAAAATAAAATAAAATAAAAAGTTAAATAATTTTTAAAATAAACTAAATAAATTTAAAATTATCTATGTTGTTTTTCTAAAATTGATAAATTTAAAAATTATATATATTGTTTACCTATTAACCTGTTAGATAAATTTTTATTATTTTTTAAAAAATTTATTAATTAAACTTACAGAAAAGTTAGATTTAGTAGCGTCACCGTTGGTGTAATACAAGTTACATGTAATGAAATGTTTACAGTGAAGACGAAAATACTCTTTTTTCCTAATAATTTTAACATACTCCAGAAATCAAAATTACATTGAAATTAAACAAGTACGTCATTTTATAATAAAAAATTATACATAAAATTTTAATAATCAGTCTGAACTTATAATAATTAAATCACGTAATTGTTTCATGCATCTTGTACATAATAGCTAAATTAAACATATATTTAAAATACTATATACATCATATTCTAGGAATAAGAACATTAGCTTATAACATAAAATACTATATACATCTTATCAAGATTAAAACATCCAAAAAGTTTTCACACATTTTTTACATCATTGCTAAATGACATGCATATTCTATTATAATAATATGCATATCGTTTTATAATAATATACAGACAATAAATGTTAAAATATCTCTAAAATCATCGTATATATTATAATTAAAGATAAAATATTCAAATATTTTTAAATTTTAATTAAAATTACATGAAAATTTATTAATTTTTAAAATAAACACTTCGTTTTAAAAACATATTTCTACTGGATACATAAGTTTTATTGTTAATCAATTGTCAATATACTTATTAATTCGATGACAAGATAATATTTTTAAAATAATTTTATTTTTTATTAATTTTAAAAATTATTATTAAATAAATTATAATTTATATTTAAAAAAATTCAACCACTCGCAACTAAAGATTTAGCTCCCCAAGGGGGCACCAACTGATCGGGGCTCCCTAAGGTAGCACTGGTGCTCCTCTGGGGAGCCTGATTAAGGTTCCTAAGGGAGCACCATATCTTTGGTGCTCCCTTAGGAGCTCCAATGCTCCTTTGGGGAGTACAATTAGGGGCACCCCAAGGAGCACCGGTGCTCCTCTGGAGAGCCCAATCAGGGCTCTCAAGGGAGTATTAGATTTGAAATTCTCCATAAGAGTATAGGGTGGAGATGAGTGATCGGCCAATGTGAGAGGACATCACCTGTTGACTTAAAAGAGAAAGAAAATAATGGAAAAAAAAGATATTTTAAATATTTTATATTTAATATTAATCTTTAAAATAAAATATTTATTTTAAAAATTAATGAACTTTTGTATAATTTTAATTAAAACTTAAAAATGTCTTATATTTTACCCTATAATTAAATGACATGTATATTTTATTATGATATTATATACATCTTATCATAATAACATGTACATCCGTTTATAGTAATTAATATATATATATATATACGAAATTGTACATAATAATCATACTACATCTATGTTCTACTATAATAATATGCCCATTTAATTATATCAATATGTGTACAATACATCATAAAGACATGTACTTATTTTTCTTGAAGGGTATTCTCGCTAGTTTGATTTATTTTTTATACACTAAAAAGTTACCCATTAAACTTATTTGTCATAATTTCCCTGGCTTACCTATTATTTATTTTTTATTCCGCTTCCAATTGTTGGTGAAATTTTAATGTTTTGTTCAATTAATACATAGATTAAAAAAATAGTTATTATTAATATTTAGTTAACGACTTTTCTTATTTGTTTGAGATTGATAAGATGAAATCTTAAATTAATCAAGATAAACAATTTTATTTTATATTTTAACAAATTTTCTAAAGATCAGTTATTTAGCTGTTGTTTTTATTATTTACTTTTTGTTTTTTTATTTATTTTTAATTGTTTACATTTTACTTTTGGTTTTTTTTCACAAAAAATAAACAAACAACAACAATATCAACCAAAAATAAATTTCACAACTGCACTTGGGTACGAGACATCTATGTTATCGCTAACTCTGATTTTAGCCTAACTTACCAAACTGTATCCACTATGGATTGGTGAAATGGAGCAACCAGAAAACATGGGTATACTTCCCTGTTCTGCAATCTATCTTGGAACTGTTCATCAGATCTTCCAAAACTTAAATCTACAAGTGACTTCTATTATTGCTTAAACTCGGCATCTCCTGGCAAGATAATCACATCCGTTATAGATCTCCAGCCCTGGCTGCCCAAGTTGATCTTCGTTAAAGCAGGCACATCGCTTGCTCATCTTTCCCGTCAGAGCAATTTCTAAAGGTCTCTGGACCAACCTTGGGAAGCCATCGTCGCACCAAACCTGAACAAGATAATAAGCAGAGATAGAGCAGGATGACAATTAGTGATGCCTGTGAAATCACAGTGAGGTGTAGTCATCTCTCATGTTTGATCAATTATATAACATCTCAAAGAGCCACTCCTTATTAGCAAATGCCATTATCAAAACTTTTGTTTCAAAGAAAAGGAAAAGAAATTAAACAAACTTACAGTTACTCATTAGGAGAGGGAAGAAGGAGGGCAATAATAATTGCATCAAAAATAAAGATCTGAATATGAGGACATATAAGACCTTGAGTATTTGGTTCAATTATTGGTGTATGTATTCCTTGCTCAAAAAGTTCATTTGAAATCCCCCTTCCCCCATATATATTAAAAACAAAAGAGAAAATGAAGACATATAAAAGTCTATCATACACATAAAGGTATGTGAATAGATCATCCAGAGCTGTGAAAAGAAGCCCCTAACCAGTCTTTATGCTGAAATTTAAAAACTAGGTCAAAGCTTTCTCCCTTGTGTGTGTGTGGGAGCATGAGCAAATGGGCACATAAGTATGCTCTAACCTTTTCTCATTCCATTTCTGGCTTGGCAACAATAGCTTATAATAATGGTACTAATGCCACTGGCCTATCCTCGTACTAAAAGTGATAACCATCAAGGGTGATTTAGACATTTGTTAGCTGGCTCCATCATCTGCTTACATCTGTCCTATATCTCATCATAGTTTTAGCTCATTTACTATATTTACAAAACCCAAAAAATCATTATGTGTTTGCAAGGACAAGGAAGCCACTGGAGCTTTAGGGGATATTAGCTCGACAGAAGTTAGGAGGTTCTTTTAGCTAAGCTTTGCACTGTATAGATGAATTTCAGCACAAAAATCGCTTTTCTGGAGATAATCTTCCCTTTTTTTTTGTTGGCAGTCAAGAGCAGGGTGCAAATTTCAGCAGTGTTACTTCGCTAAAGTTATATTAGAATGTTTCACAGCATATTTTCAAAGCATGAAAGCATATACCTCTCCACCATCATCTTGACTCCATCTTGAATTGCAACTGGGTTGTTTAGCTTCCATATTTTTTTGTTTCTCCATAAGTTGTGCTCCTCTAGCAGCCTTTGCTTCTACTCCCTTCAGGTATTTTGTGGGATTTCCTTGGCTATCATAGTAGCGACCTACAAGCCTTCCAACAAATCTGCAATAACAAATCAAGAATCAAGCACATTCCAAGGCATTTTGTTATGCTGATGTAGATTGTCAGTATATTCTTCATTGTTAATATTTAAGAAAACAAAAGGCAACCATTAGACCAAAATCACTAACAATCGTATATGGAGGGAAAAAGAAAAAAATGAAAATGAGTCTACACTGTAGTTATCGAAACAACTAGGCTTTTACCAAAAATTGACATAATAAGCTGATTTGCGGAAAGATCAGCACCAAGCAAAATCAAATTGACATAATAACTTCTTGTATCTTCTGAAAAAGTCAAGATACAATACCATGATTCAGATACAGGTAGACATACAGGATAGAGCAAATGAATTTCAGAAATACTAGGAAACAACAACATGATTCAGGTACTGCTAGAATATTCTGAATTGAAATACTGAGTCCAAAAACCTTAAAACAACTCCTTTGACTCTTTTTGGGCAGCATTCACAGTTTACATTGCCTAGAGTCACTCCTAAATTTACACTTTGTTCCCTAAAGCATGCCTCCTTGGTCCTTGCTCTTTATGACCCTAACAACCACAAAATATTTCTTAGTTCCCAGCTTTTTATCATGAACAAATGTACTAATCAAGCATTTCCCCCTCCTCCTCCCTGTCCCTGTCCTCTCCTGCATCGCAGTTCATCTTATGATATTATTGAACCTTATGCGAATGACTCACAAAATGTTATCGCAAAACAAATTAATATAACATAGTTCCTAAGATGTTTTATATATTGCTTCTCGCATAGCCATATGTATAGGAAATAAATTCAGTTAAACCTAAAGCCTTTCATTAGATATTGAAAAATGAAGCAGAGAACTCCAGCCTTTTAATGGTTTTGGCACTCAAACATCCATGGGACACTTGTTTTCTTCCAGATAAGTTTGAAGTAAGTTATCAATGTTCAAGAGTCTACAAAGAAATCTGAACCAAAAAAAAAAAAGTCTTCATGTAAAGAATTACTGAACAGTGAGGGAGAGTGGCTCACTTGTAGCTTTTGAAGTAGAAGTCCCGCCATCCAACTACACTGTGGACCTACAAACATGAGTAATTGTGCGAGACAAATGAACTTTTAATATTAATAATATGGCATTAGACATGGAATATGTAAAAGAAAAAAAGGGTAAAACCCAAAGTTAATTTTTTCGTAAATATGTAATTGGTATTATTATTATAAATATGAAAAAAAGTAAAAAGCTAGCATGCTAAACAGTGAAGAAACATGCATTAATGTATAAATAAATAAAAAGTGTGACTGCCAGCATAAAAGCATTTGTAAGAAAAAGAGTTAGGTGATACCAAACCCTAAACATCAGACAAAGATGCCTGAAAATAGCTTAAGCACTCGTTTTAGTTAAAGTGTAATTTGAGCTAATATGAGGTAAACTTTTCTTTTTTGCTTCTGATTAAAGTTTAAGCTCACCCTTGCTCTTTGAACAGATCAAATGTAGGCTAAAGGAAAGCGCACATACATAACAGCATATCCCTGAAACGGAAGTGCAAATAACATCATTACCTCAGTGCTCGATAAACCTCGCAATGAGTCTGTGAGTCCATCTCCTGTATGAAAAATGAGAAAACAAGAGATAAAATATTAAGAAATCTAACAAAAGGAAAAGAACTATAGTGGCTCTTGGGTATGTAATATTTCCTACAAATATATTACTTCCACAAACAGAGGCTCATATTTTGTTAATTTAAGGTACTAAAGGCATGCACAATGAATGTGCATTCCTTCATTAGGATAGACAGGAGATATCAAAGGCCATCTAAATGTCAGTTTTCAATTGCTCACTGTTGCATTTGTATGTAACATAATAACCTACGGTTAAACCTAGACGTGAAGTTCGTTCTATGTGGTAAAATGAAACATTTTTGTCAAGCAAAAAGAAATTAACAAGAAATAACAATAAAAGGTTTATACAATTATAGCATGCACTCAAATGTGCCCAATAGCTCATATCCATCGTAGCATTAATAAAGTCATGACTCAGTCCAATTATGGATTTCTTAGAATTTAGTCCAAACTTTTCTTGACATATTTGTTGTTTGCATCAAGGCTGTTGACTCAAAGAGACTAGAATCCTCCCAAGTTTTTCATGACCCTAAGTGCAGATGGTGATTAGTACAAGCATTAGGAAAATGATCTTCACTATCTTGAAAATCTTCTGAAAAGTGGTGATAAAGTTCATCATTGAAGATTTCTCCTGCTCAGTTGAACAATGTCATGTTAGAATGTGAAGCTCACCAACTGGGCAAGCCTGATATGACTTCCTAGCAAGAACATGTGAACACCAACCCCCTCAAATGGGTTTACATTGCATTTCATGGTGAAGCAAGCAATCAAAATAAATGATGCAGTCATTTGACTCAGTCAATGAGAAATCATAATTGGTTCAGAATATCTCATAACTCAGTGTACTAGATCAATTTTCTTCCTTTGGTCCATCCTTAGATTCAGTGAGCAGCTTTAAGTCATTTTCTATGAAATATAAAACTCTCAATGCTATCATCCTGATAAGTAAGAAATAAAAATCACATCACTCACCTGTAAAGTTTCCAGAAACAAAAGCACGGGAGGCATCTCTGGATCATCAGGAAGAATACAGAAAAAGAACTGTCAGTTTGCAAGTCCGGAAATATAGTGAAAGCAGATGGAAAAAGATGTAATTGGCCTATGAAGATAGCCCAAAAAACTTTGGCCACTGCAACTATATGTCTCAATACTTGAAAATGATTAGGTAACCACATGTCAGAAAGTTTGCAACCACAACATCACAAATTATAACAAGTGATAGCAACTAATGTATAAATACAATCAGCAAATAATATGTGCAGACCTGTATGATGAAAGAATCACACAATTTAGTCTAATTAATTAAATGAGTAAGAATAAAAGGTGTAATTTGCCATCAATGAAAAATATGTCAAGCTTATGTTCCTAACTTAACACAAATTGGCATCAGAACTAGAAGGGGAAGAAGGAGGAGAAGGAAAAGGAAAAACAAAGACCTTACTTTTGTAGAACATGTAATGTACATAAGATTCCACCATGAAACAAAATTAAAGGAAGCAGTAGTCAGTACAGAAAACAGTGCCCTTTTCTTCTTCGATAAACTGAATGTTAATACTCAAAGGCTTATATGGAACCACTCGTTTTCATCCACCAATAACCATTGATCACACATTCAAAAAAGCTTTAATAAGCTCTCCACATAAGAACTGGTTAAATAAGGCTTTGATGACGCTAACCAATTGCATGTAACAAGAAAGCTCCCATGCTACATCAATGCCATTAAAATCCAATATAAGTACAAGAAATGTGCTATTAGTGATTAAAGGACATAGCTCAAATCTTTCTGAGAACTAGCAAAGCAAGCTAACATTTTGGCAAAAGCACCAAGCATGTGAATAAATGTAACTTCATTTAAAGAACAATACAGAAACATCCAAGTACAAAAAGAAAAAGAAAAAGAAAACCTTCCAGCAAAGTGATTATAACCTCCTCCAGCGCCGTAGTGAGATTTTCCTTTTGTTACATCAAACACAGAACTGTCACAAAGTATTTTATCTGGATTAGCATTTACAAACAATATGCAATATTTATTATTATCAATACTATCTAAGCATGAAGAATCAGGCAAAGGGGGTACCCCAAAATTCCTAAGAGTATGGGTAATGATTCATCGGTTCCATTGTAAAATGCCAGTTCTTCAGCAGTGAATAATTTCTACAAAAGCAGCAGATCAAAAAAAGAATTACAAGAAGAAAACATTTCCAGTTTTCACGCACAGAACGGGAAAAAGCAAGGGCAGCCCAAAAGGAGAAAAAAAGGAGGTCAGGGGAGACCTGTTGAGTGTTAAATTTGAGGAGAAAGGCGATGAGGGCCACCAGAACTGCGATTCCAAAGCAAGAAGAGGTTATAAGTTTCTTCGCCGGCATCGCTTCCAAGGCTGAGCTTCGAATTTTTTCAACATCACTGACTTGGTTTAGGTACGCGGGTGGAAGTAAACTGCAGAAAACGCTTGCTGTTTATAATCGTTTTTGTTCACTTGAGTCCTTCTACTTCAATTTAGTCAAATTTCAAATTCGGTCCTCTACTTTAATGAAATGTTCACTTCAGTCCTTTTTCTTGGGTTTGGACCTTGGATACTCAAATTTTCCATAGTATTTTATTTGTTTAATTAAGTCAATTTTGAAAAAAAAAACTATTTTAAATATGCTAACATGACCTCTCTTTTTTTAATAAATAAAATATCATCATTTTAATCAATATTTTCAAAATTTTTTGAACTTCTTCTTTTTATGAATAATTAATTTTCATTGATTTTATTAGTTTTGTAAATATTGAATATATTTTAAAGCTACATTATTTATCAATTTTAACATAATGTCTTTAATGGTTATTTTTCTCTCGCTTTGTTTTATTATTATTAGAGTCAATCTCATCATTATGTCAAACAATGCCTAACTTGTTTTTATTACTATTTTTTTCTTTTTTATATTTGTTCTAATACAACTTTTTATTATTTTCACAATAACCCTTTTGTCTCTTTTATGTCTTCTTCGATTGCCTTACATGAATGATAAAGCACAACAATGACATTTGTAGTCTTTTATTTTCTTAACAATTATTTAGTTTTCACTCACATATGGTGAACTTATGACTAATTAAATATGTGATGGACATGTTTAGGTTGGTGTCATGAGTTAAAAAACTCGATTAAATTGATAAAAATATTATAACATTAAAAAAATAAAATATATATTAATTTATCATAATAAATAGTGATATAATATATTGATATAATCATGTTACAGTCTCACTTTTCATTATGATAAGTTAACATCATGTGATAGTAAAATGATAAATTTATTTTAATTAATTATAGTTAATTAATTATTAATTATAAATAGTTAATTTAAAATAAAAATATAAAAACTTGATTGAATATAATAATTAATATATTTAAAAAAAAATTCATTGTTTAAGGACTTTTTAAAGTATTAAGTTTATGTATAATCTAAAATATATATAAAACTATGAATATTGAAAAATTTTATGATTAATGAAAATAGATATTCTTAATCATAATATTTTTAAATGCCATTGTAAATATCTTATATCATAAATTTTATTAAATTGTAAATAAAAACTCTAATTGTATTGAATGATATTCATTAATATTTTTTATGAAATATTAATGAAATTTATCTCACCAAGAAATAAGAATTCCAATTGTATTGAATGACTTTTATTAAAAATAATTATCTTAATATTATTAAATAACATCTAATTTAATTATTATAAAATTTAAATTATTTATGTTTGAAATTTTACAATTTAAAATACGTATATCTATATATAATTATATTTAAAAATAAATAAATAAAAAATAATAATCAGGTAAAGCAAGTGTTGTCAAATACTAATATATATAACAATGTTAAATGCTAATAGTAGCAAGTTTTGATAATGTTGACGTGTGAATCGAAACAAGAGAGAGAGAGACCGGTTTTTACCGAAGTGTAGAAGGAAGAATAATAGAAAAAAGAACCAGGTGGCTGGTGCCGTCGGTGTTGACTGCAGACGGAAATCCATCTCATCTCTAAGCGAACATATCAAAGCTGCTACCGGAAACGGCGAAAAGAAAACCTCTCTCCTTCACAATCTCCTGATCAGGTACATGCCTTTTCTTATTCCTATATTTCTTCTATTTGAATTCTTATTGCTACGAACGAGACCTTACTCTTACTTCTTTGATCTTTAACGGCAAATTCAATTTCCCTTGTTCCTGAATTAATTTTATGTTTCTAACGAAGCCTAAGTTTTCATTTTTCCGTTTGATCTCTGGTAGGTTAGATTAGCCAAAATTGATTTGAAACCAATTAAGTTAGTGTTTAGGGTTTCTGATTATTCATTTACTTTTTTTTTTTGTTTCGGCAGATAGGTTAGATAAAAAGGAAGATGGGCATGAAGCAAGCATTAAAAAGCCTGGATGCCTTTCCTCGTGCGGAGGAACATTTGTTGCAGAAGACGCAATCAGGGGCATTAGGTGAATTATTGCCATTTTTATTTTCTGTTTAACTATAAATGATGCCACATGTTGATTTTAATCATTACTGATTCTTTCTTTCTTTTTTTTTTTTGCAAAACTCTGTTTTATAGTCTCGATCGTTGGTTTAGTGATAATGGCTGCGCTGTTCTTTCATGAGCTTACGTATTATCTTACTACATATACTGTTCATCAGGTTTGCATTTTTTTTGTAGCTTTTGATATCAGTGCTACCTATTTTTTTTGGCTGAATTGTTGGGTTGGATTGATGGCATTGTCATTGTGTTGCTGCTTCTTGTTATGGAATTTCTTAACATTTATTAGAACAAACTCGAATTAAAATCTTTAGGTTTTGTCTCCTAAGATTATGTTTCTCTCTGGAGGCTTCCATAGAGGCTTCTTGTGCAAAAGACAAGTTTTAAAGAAACTTATCCACTGGCCTAAACGTGTTCATATGCCAGCTGGGAAATAGAATGTTAAGCAAAGATTTGGGGGACATAAATGATGCAGCCACAGGACACACCTTGCTCTTGTGTGATTTTAGCTCTAGTGATTTGGTGGTTTTTAATATATGAGTTGTGTGTGCATTGTGTATATAGATGGAATTGTGTTTATCCTCTCTTTGACATTTCCTACTTTCTCCTGATCTACTTTTTGGCATCTGAGTTATCTTCTAGTTTGTTGGGTAATCTTTTGTGTATGAGTCCTAGTGTACTTCAAGATAATGAATGTTTTAATGCTTTTCTTTCTTTTTTATTTAATAATATTCTAAATGCTTTGATTGCTGTCTTCTCATATCTCTGCAATTACGTCTATATCTTCCCTTAAACTACTTAAACTACTGATCTGCCAAATGCTAGTCAGACTAAAGTTACTTTGCAACCATCCCAACATCTTTTGCATACGAATATTATTTAATAATATTTTAGCTAATCCTTGTCATTCAACCACCATTTATTCAAACTTGTTTTTTTAAATATAAACCTTGAATTCTTCTGCCGATCTGCAACTTTCAACTTCAAAATCCCATATTTTCGCAAGCCTGGGTTGCCTCAAGGGAAAAGACAGCTTTCTAAAATCTCTTCTCTATTAATAAGAGCACCCAAGCAACATATGTTCTCAAAACAAAGTGGTTTCGAGTCCAACTTTTCTATCTGAATTAATGCTATTAGGGAATTCTGTAACCAGTGATGTGGTGTCATTAGTAGTTTGAGATTAGGTCGTAGTTGAGATGATCTAACTGGATAGGTATTTGCAGATGTCTGTAGACTTGAAACGTGGAGAAACACTTCCCATTCACATTAATATGACATTTCCTTCATTACCTTGTGATGGTTAGTACTGCTCTTTTTATGAAACTATTCTTTTTATTTGTAGATTCTGATTTTATCTCTTCTTTGGAATATTAACTGTTGGTCGTTGATGTATCATATTATTTTTGCAGTCTTAAGCGTCGATGCCATTGACATGTCAGGCAAGCATGAAGTGGATCTTGATACTAACATATGGAAAGTAAGACAATTTCTTCTTCTCAGCAAGCCTTTATTATCTTAATCATCATTGTGTACTAATC